TTTCAAAGGGAATGCTTCCACTTTTTGCACATTTGGTATTATATTGGCTGTTGGTTTGTCGCAAATAGCTTTATTATTTTGAGATACATTCCATCAATACCTAGTTTATTGAGAGTTTTTAGCATAAATGGCTGCTGAATTTTGTCAAAGGCCTTCCTTCTCTGCATCTATTGAGATAATCATGTGGTTTTTGTCTTTTGTTCCGTTTATGTGATGGATTACGTTTATAGACTTGCATATGTTCAACCAGCCTTGCATCCCCGGGATGAATCCTACTTGCTCATGATGATAAGCTTTTTGATGTGCTGTTGCAATTGGTTTGCCAGTATTTTATTGAAGATTTTGCATCTATGTTCATTATGGATATTGGCCTGAAGTTTTCTTTTCTTGTTGAATTTTTTTTTTTCCTGAGGAATCTTTACATTATAAAAATCGAAGGCTTAATTTTGCAAATACAACTTTCAAGCTGTATGAGCAAATTTAACTTACTTGAAAGGCACAAGATGACATCACGTTGAAGAACTTTATCTGTAAATTTCATAAAGTCTAGTCACAAGTTATTAGAAACTTCATAAGGAATCTCAGAACTGTTTTAACATGATGTTCTGATTCAAACTGAGAACTGGATAGTCTTTACATCACAAATACAAGTTGAAGTAAGAGTGAAGATTTAGAGAAAGAACAGTTTCTTATTTTGGATGCTACCTGCTTTATGCAGTGTTGGTTACTAAATACTCAGAGCAGAAAATTAAAATTGAATTATTTTCCATTTTCAACAACTTACCTATTGTATTTTCAGTTTGTAAAAACAGTATTTTCACATTTACTGCAATTTTGAAGAGTCAATCACTGAAAGATATTTTAAAGTCCTGCTATATTAGCTTCCTACATTGGAATACAAGAATACAGGAAGTGCTTTCAACAGAAAGTTACGTAGTTCTACAGCACAACGTGTCTAAAAGACTTGCAAGGGACCAGTACAGTGACTTGGTCTCTTTGGATCAGGCAAAAGCAGAGGCAAATGAAAAATGAACTTTAAAAAAAATAATATATTAAAAAAATTCCTGTATGAAAATGAATACTTGTTTGCACTTAGATTTAGTGCTAAGAGGAACTGAGGCACAATGAAACTAAGTGCACAAAGGGAACATGTCTGAAATAAAGCAGTTTTCAATGTGACTGTTAATACAGTCCATTCCTTCATTTCTTCAGAAGGAATGATACTGTATGTATCATTGTATTGTATGTCTGGTAGAATTCTGCTGTGAACCAATCTGGACCTGGGCTTTTTTTGGGTGGTAGGCTCTTAATTGCTGCCTCAACTTCAGATCTTGTTATTGGTCTATTCAGGGTTTCTACTTCTTCCTGATGTAGGCTTGGGAGGATGCAAGTGTCCAGGAATTTATCCATTTCTTCCAGGTTTACTGGTTTATGTGCATAGAGGTGTTTGTAGTAATCTCTGATGGTAGTTTGTTTTTCTGTGGAATCTGTGATGATATCCCCTTTATTGTTTTTTATTGCATCTATTTGATTCCTCTCTCATTTCTTTTTTATTAATCTGGCTAGTGGTCTATTTTGTTGATCTTTTCAAAAAAACAGCTCCTGGATTTATTAATTTTTTGAAGGGTTTTTTTGTGTCTCTATCTCCTTCAGTTCTGCTCTGATCTTAGTTATTTCTTGTATTCTGCTAGCTTTTGAGTTTTTTTGATCTTGCTTCTCTAGCCCTTTCAATTTAGATGTTAGGGTGTCAATTTTAGATCTTTCCTTCCTTCTCATATGGGCATTTATTGCTATAAATTTCCTTCTAGGCACTGCTTTAAATGTGTCCCAGAGATCCTGGTACATTGTATCTTCTTTCTCATTGTTTTCATAGAACATCTTTATTCCTGCCTTCATTTTGTTGTTTATCCAGTCAACATTCAAGAGCCAGTTGTTCAGTTTCCGTGAAGTTGTGCGGTTCTGAGTTAGTTTCTTAATCCTGAGATCTAATTTGATTGCACTGTGGTCTGAGAGACTATTTGTTATGATTTCCATTCTTTTGCACTTGCTGAGGAGTGATTTACTTCCAATTATGTGGTCAATTTTAGAGTAGGTGTGATGTGGTGCTGAGAAGAATGTATATTCTGTGGATTTCGGGTGGAGAGTTCTGTGTCTATTAGGTTTGCTTGGTCCAGAGCTGAGTTCAAGTCCTGGATATCCCTGTTAATTTTCTGCCTCGTTGATCTGTCTAATATTGACAGTGGAATGTTAAAGTCTCCCACTATTATTGTGTGGGAGCCTAAGTCTCTTTGTAACTCATTAAGAACTTGCTTTATGTATATGGGTGCTTCTGTATTGGGTATGTATATAGGATTGTTAGCTCGTCTTGTTACATTGATCCCTTTACCATTATGTAATGTCCTTCTTTGCCTCTTTTGATCTTTGTTGGTTTAAAGTCTATTTTATCAGAGACTAGGATTGCAACTCCTGCTTTTTTTTGCTCTCCATTTGCTTGGTAAATCTTCCTCCATCCCTTTATTTTGAGCCTATGTGTGTCCTTACATGTGAGATGGTTTCCTGGATACAGCATACTGATCGGTTTCGACTTTTTATACAATTTGCCAGTCTGTGTCTTTTGATTGGGGCATTTAGTCCATTTACATTTAAGGTTAATATTTTTATGTGTGAATTTGACCCTGCCATTTTGATGCTAGCTAGTTGTTTTGCCCATTAGTTGACATAGTTTCTGCATTGTGTCGATGCTCTTTATCATTTGGTACATTTTTGGAGTGGGCGGCATTGGTTTTTCCTTTCTATGTGTAGAGCCTCTTACAGGAGCTCTTGTAAGGCAGGCCAGGTGGTGATGAAATCTCTGAGCAATTGCTTGTTCATAAAGGATTTTGTTTCTCCTTTGTTTATGAAGCTTAGTTTGGCTGGATATGAAATTCTAGGTAGAAAGTTCTTTTCTTTAAGGATGTTCAATATTGGCCCCCACTCTCTTCTGACTTGTAGAGTTTCTGCTGAGAGATCTGCTGTGAGTCTGATGGGTTTCCCTTTGTGGGTAACCCGACCTTTCTCTCTGGCTGCCCTTAGCATTTTCTCCTTCGTTTCAACCCAATCTGACAATTATGTGCCTTAGGGTTGGTCTTCTTGAGGAATATCTTTGCGGTGTTCTCTGTATTTCCTGGACTTGAATATTGGCCTGCCTTGCTAGGTTGGGGAAGTTCTCCTGGGTAATGTCCTGAAGAGTGTTTTCTGGCTTGGATTCATTCTCTCCATCACATTCAGGTACACCTATCATCTGTAGAATTGGTCTTTTCACATAATCCCATATTTCTTGGAGGCTCTGTTCATTTCTTTTTATCTTTTTTCTCTAATCTTGCCTTCTCATTTTATTTCATTGAGTTGATCTTCAATCTCTGATATCCTTTCTTCTGCTTGGTCAATTCGGCTACTGAAACTTGTACATGCTTCACGAAGTTCTTGTGTTGTGTTTTTCAGCTCCATCAATTCACTTATATTCCTCTCTAAGTTGTTTATTCTCATTAGCATTTCGTCAAGCTTTTTTCCAAGGTTCTTAGTTTCTTTGCATTGGGTTAGAATATGTTCTTTTAGCTCAGAGAAGTTTGTTATTATCCACTTTCTGAAGCCTGTTTCTGTCAATTCTTCAGACTCATTCTCCATCCAGCCTTGTTCTCTTGCTGATGAGGAGTTGTGATCCCTTGGGGTAGGAAAGGCATTCTGGTTTTGGGTGTTTTCTTCCTTTTTGTGCTGGTTTCTTCCCATCTTTGTGGATTTATCTACCTGTTGTCTTTGTAGTTGGTGGCTTTTGGATGGGTTCTCTGAGTAGATATCCTTTTTGTTGATGATGAAGTTATTTCTTTCTGTTTTTTAGTTTTCCTTCTAACAGGCCACTCTACTGCAGGACTGCTGGAGGTCCACTCCAGACCCTGCTTGCCTGGGGATCTCCAGCAGTGGCCTCTGTGGTCTTGCTGGGAACAGCACTCCAGAGCTGTTTCTATTCAGCCATCTTCGATCATCTCTCAAAGAAGGTATTCTTTCACTGTTCTGGGGTTGGACACCTGGACTCAATGTGTTGGCAGGGCCAGCTTCCCTCCAGAGGCTCTCAGGAGAATCTGTTTCTTCTCTCTCCCAGCTTCTGTGGCTGCTGGCCATCCCTGGCATCTCTTGTCTGTGGCTGCAGCACTCCAGTCTCCAACTCTGCCTTCACGTCCCATTATCCTCTGTGTCTTCTCCTTTGTCTCTTATAAGGACACTTATCATTGGACTTAGGACCCACCAGATGATCCAGGATGATTTCAAGATCCTTATTAACATCTGCAAACATCCTCTCTCCAAATGAGAGAGCATTAGCAGGTTCCAAGGATTTGCACATGGACACATCTTTTAGGGGTGGGGACACCATTCAACCTGCCCTAAGATACTCCTTGCAGTCAAATCTCAGGGTTGGCATCTGGGAGATCCAGACCTAAGGTGGGTGACCTTAGCAAGCCACATGCCCCAGTCTGAGCCTTGACTTTCTCATTACTATTGCAAAAACACAAACTTGATGGTTTTCTGGTCTCTTATGGTGATGTGGCTTTCAGCTGCTTTTTGAGCAAGGGGCTGGGGGAAGGCTTCTCTGAGATGCAAGACCCTGCCAGGTGGCAGTGAGGGGCCAATATCAAGCAGTTCTGCAGCTTCCAGGGAGAATTCCCACCACTCAAAGAGGTGTGTGATCAAGTGGTTCTGTGGGGAGATGATTTTCACCATCTGGAGTGTCAGGAAAAAATGTAATTACCATTTGTTTCTAAATACTAAGGGAGTGTTTAAAGGCAAAACACCCCAACAGGAATAGCTCTACTTCTGGGTGCTTGGCTAGGAAGGCAAGCCTCCTGTATGTGCCTGTCCTGTGTGAGGCAGCAGAGGGGTCATTCACCATGGCTGTCTCCTGAACAGGGAGCAGCAGAACCCGAAGGAGGAAGGGGCTCTAGCTGCAGCTACTCACTCCTTTTCAATAGCTGAATGGACTGCTCCCAGTGTGTGTGCAAATAGGAACAGAGACCCTAGACAAATTCACCTCTGTGGAGCTGCTCAGGGATACATTTCGGTAAGAAATTAATGCATCAAAGAGGAGGGACAAGTTAATTTTGGCAAGACTTGGGCAAATATTGGATCTTTTTAGATGCGAAAGGAGTCTTTTTAAAAAAACCCAAATCGGGGCCAGGCATGGTAGATCATGCCTGTAATCCCAGCACTTAGGGAGGCTGGTGCAGGCAGATCACCTGAAGTCAAGAGTTTGAGACCAGCTTGGTCAACATGGTGAAACCCTGTCTTTACTAAAAATACAAAAATTAGCCAGGCATGGTGGCAAGTGCTGGTAATCCCAGCTACTCTGTAGGCTGAGGCAGGAGAATCACTGAAACCCTGGAGGTGGAGGTTGCATTGAGCAGAGATGGCACCACTGCACTCCAGCCTGGACGACGAGAGTAAAACTCCATCTCAAAAAACAAAAACAAAACCTACAATCAGACAAGTCATCCCCCTACTTAAAACCTGTATTTATAATACATTCTAAAGTCATTCATGCTGAATGTGAGGTTCTTTTTAACAAGGTTTCCTTAAGGGCTGTTTTGATACACAGGAACATACAACTCAGTAGTTTACTTTGGCTTCTAAAAGTCAGTATTTGGCCAGGTGCAGTGGCTCACGCCTATAATCTCAACACTTTTGGAGACCGAGGTGGGAAGATTGCTTGAAGCCAGGAGTTTGAGACCAGGCTGTGCAGTATAG